CCACTCCGGTTTCAGTGCGCGCCGGGAGGGAGCCGAATACAGGGGAGCCGATCTGCTGGGCGCCAGTGAAGTCCGTATCTTTCTCTTATTTATTTTGCCTCCCTTACTTCAGCTTACCTCTAATAATCTTGACTGTAAGAAATAGAGGAGAAAAGGGGAGGAAAACGGGGGACGAGGGTGGGGGGGACGGCGAGCAGGGCGGGGTGAGAGCGGTCGTGTCCCCTTTGGAGAAGCAAGCCTTTATATTTTTATGTAACTCCCAAGAAAGATCCAGGCGTGGCCTCCTTTTCTCCCTCCCCGACTTCCTCCATTAAAAAAAATGGTGTCCTCGCTGCTTTTTCGGCCCATTAAGGCTCTTCACAGGGAGGCATCCTTGGTTTCTTATAATCGACTTTTGAAAATAACCCCCCCCCCCACTTTTAAAAAACATTTAGCTAGGTTTTTGTAGTCGAAGGGGGGAGAGCAAAGACCCCACGTAACCGGCAGATCAATCCTCTGGTGTAGTTTTTCCTCATAAATCTCTAAATTAAGTGGGCCAATGCGCAGGAGGGTGGCAGCTGTGGTAAACCAGCTCTCCCTCTGCCTCTCCCCTGAAATCGGGGAGAATCCCAGTGGCGACTGGAGGAGGAGGAGGCCCAGACCGTGAATCCCACGAAGGTTTGGAGGCGTGGACGGGTTTAAAAAATTTGACCGTTGAAGCTTTAGCGCCTGGGTTGGGTGGGTGTTTGCAGATGGGGCCCAAACGTGGGCTATCTGTGGGAAAACAGCGAAATGGGATGTTGGTGAGGCAAAGGGTCGACTCCGAATGGCTTTGGTGCTTCGACGTTTTCCACTGCAACTGGCGCTACATTTTTTTTAACCTTTTATAATCTTGGGTACAGGAATCCTATCTGGGATTTCTTTTCTTTTCTATCTGCCTTGCCCCTTGGTTATTGCACCTCGGTCTTAAGTACTGTAATATTTACACATCCTTTCTTCAGCAGCCCTCTTCTTTTCTCATTCTATTTGTCTTTAAAAATGGAAGCCCCACATATCAACTGCATGGCCTAAAATGGGTTTTCTGCAGGAAGATGGGAAGCATTGCTGAGTCAAAGGGGTTGTGGGCTTGCTTTGCAGCATCACATGCTCTTTGTAGGTTTGTGGAGATGGCACTGCATGTTAATTGTAGAAAAAAACTGTGCTGACCTAAATTCATGTAAAATTATGTAGTGTATCACTTTTAAGATTACCAGTATAACTTTTTTTTACTGCAGATTACTCTGTTAGAGTCCTGCATCTTCCCTGAAAGATTATAATTGACTAAAAGTGTATTTAGGATTTTGTAAAATGTTACACTTTACTGTAGATTTTATTTTTATTAAAGCCTCCGGGTGTTAAGTGTAAGCCTTTCTTGCAAATATTTGTTGAATGTGTGATGGCTAATGAAGAGGCATAGCATGTATTGCTGGTGATGGTTAACTCCAAATAATGCTTAACATAATGCAGGTATAACTTCAAGCTTTGCTAATGTTCTTGAAATATAGTCTTTAAAATCACCTGGATAGAAAAAGGACCATACTTGTATTGAGATGCCTTTCTCTGAGTAATGCAACATTCCTTTTGTCATGCATTTTTCTAGTAAAAGCTCAGCAAGTCTGCAATAAAAATGGCCACCAATAAAACTACATTGGTAAGTTCATGACCACATAAGATATGTAAGGATTTTACCACCATACTTCAGATTTATTGTTGGCATCACTGTGTAAAAAGGTGCATCCACATCTCCCAGAGTTATTCTATGAAAATACCCAATCTTGAAAGTAAGGCTACTGGAAAGAATACAGATTTTGGCTTCAATGGATTTGCTAGGTTACAGTGAATTTTTGTTTTAGTTTACTTAATTATTGACACTGCCCTGTACACAGAGTGATTTTTCATTTCTGTGTTGGGCAAGGAGAGACCAAGGTTTAATCAACCCTTGAATAGATTTAAGGTCTCCTTTATTTAGGACCACCAGTGGTGGAAGTGGAACACTGGTTAGCAGTGTAATCACCAGTGTTAGCTCCAGCTGTAATAACCTGATCATCTTATTCTACTTGGATAGCTTATATTGACAGACAGCAGATCTATATCTTGGTTTGTTTTACAGATGATGATGACGTAACTGTAGTATTGACTATAAGTCCAACACATGAATATATACAGAAACAATTTTGCACAACATCAGAATTGATCGTTTCAAACTCTTGATTTATAAACACAAGACATATAATACATGCATCCCACTAATGATTTATTATGTTAAACATGTATTAAAATCCTCACAAAAAATTGTTTTATTGATTAACTTCAAAACATATAATTTTGAAATTGTCAGAAGATACCTCTAGAGTCTTCCCTCTCATTACCTGTTTCTAGTCAGTCTGGCATGGAGAAGTTTTACAAGCTAAGTATTTCTGGAATTAGATTCCTTTTAGCAGTAGTTTATGGAGAGCCTTCCACACCCATACTTGCCACTTTTGACTGATAAAAGTGAGAAGGCATCACTTCTATAGAAGGGAAAGAGATTCTTACCCATCACATTAGTTCTAAGCTGTAATTGATTGGATCACAGTAGTGTTTCAGGATTTGCCACTGTCCCCATTGCACAAATAAGTCATAACCTTTTCCAGCTGGAGGGAAAATAAGATTTGTTGGGATAATGTATAATGGGGGCCCTTCAGAGTGTCCACAGAATAGCACCAGAATGAGCTCCCCTCCCAGTTTCACAGGTAGAGTGAGGAACAGGGTAGGGTCATTGCAGTTGCTTTCCAAAATCTAGCACAGCTGTGGGGATTTTGTGTGCTTAATTTCCAGCTCTAAACTTGTTGCTGGGGAAGACAAGCAGGAAACTTTACCTGCTGTCAGACAGTTACAGCATCAATAGTGGATATACTTAGCTCATCTTACAATTAAAGCAAATTTTTCAAAATGCATGGGCTAGTTAAACAGAGTACAGGATAGGGATTACTAGAGATGGGTGGGGTGAGAGTTGGAAATATTCTTGAACATAGTGGGCCTTAACATCTCAGATAGGATTGTCCGAAGAATGAAGCGGGGGAGGTCACAGTATGGATTGCACCGAGCAGAGGAGTGGTAGACTCACATCTATCTTGGCTTGCTTACCAAGATCAGCCAAAATTTGTGCACCTGTGTTCATAAAATCATGTACATCCTTAATAACTTCCTTGAAATAATGTACCTAGCTCTCCATGTATTGGTTTAGAGAGGAAATTATTACTGCATAACACCTTGTTCCACAAGGCATAGAATGGTGGATTTTCAAATACAGTGGCTGTATTTGAAACAGTTTGGGACCTCAATATTAGGCAGATCGTCTTCTCCCACCCAGATCTACTCGAATCACCTGCCATAGCCAGCAGGGACTGCTGAGGGGCCTGACGGCGAAAGAGGCTCGGAAGGAAAAAACTAGAAACCGGGCCTTCTCGGCAGTGGCCCCATAAGACGCACTTTTTCCCCACAAAACAGGGGGGTGGAAAGTCTGTGCGTCTTATGGAGTGAAGAAAACAGATTATATTTTCCTGCTTTCTTCTCCTAAAAAATTGGTGCGTCTTATGGAAAGGTGCGTCTTATAGAGCGAAAAATACGGTATTTTATATTGATTTTTATGTTGTAAGCCACCCCGAGTAGACATGATCTAGAGGGGCGGGGTATAAATTTAATTAATAAATAAATAAATAAATTAGTTTTTCAGGGAGTGCTTTAGTTGGCCTCTTATAATAGTGCTACACTGTCACATAGTTTGGAAACTAGTAATTTGTGTGTATCATCAAGTGCCATATGTGAAAGGGAAATAAATACTGTACATGTAGCCGTGTTTATTCTTAAGAATACTGTGCAGAATTCCCATCAGAGCCTATGAATTAACATAAATTTTCACAATGAAGCTGTAGAACAATGGATTTTGGGGATTCATAAATATTAATTAGTAACCTCAAATGTGTGCAGATATACTAAGAATGTTATATAGTATAAATGAACTAAATTAGGAACTGAACTTTCAATTAAGGAAACAATTTGAAAATAAAAATCTCTGACATACTTTATACCACACCCTACACATGAAGGATTTAACATGAATTAATAGCTGTACATCTCTAGATAAAACTGATGCTCAATAAGTGGGTAGAAATTAATAATTTTGATATGAAAGGCAGGTATTAAGGACCTGTAGGTCAGGGAACGATGTAGGTAGTATATCGTGCATATTTGTGTAAGGTATTCGGATTCCTCTTGTGCAGTGTTCTAAGGTTTAGGAGAGATCACAGTGTATTCTTGTAGGTTGGGTTTTGTGTAAATATCTGCAATATTCAAATCTAAGAGTGTATTGACATTACAATTTCGTCTTTTTCGTACTGTTTTTAACTGCCAGAGCTTCATTCTATGGAGTTCTGGGATGTACATCCAAAATTTTTGTGAGTTGGAACCAGGACAGTGGTATCAAACTACTTTAACTCTAGTGTAGACAACATTCTTGGACACATATTTGTAGCTAGGGTGATGCTGTTTTTCACACAAGCGTTATCCAGAGGCTAAATTACTTTTGAATTGATGTCTTCTAGGTGCCTTTGGATTTAGTTTGTAAGTAACTGCAAGGTATCCTATATTTGTTCTTTTGACCTGGCTCTTCTCTAGTGAACAACTTTTTAACCTCTTTCCCTCAAACAGTTGTGATGCAAATATCGACAGATTAAAGTTTACACTTTTGAGGCCATAATCATGTACATATTCCAGTTTGTCCCAGAGTTTCCATTCCTATGAAAGTTGGGAGTGCGTTTTGGGCATTTCATCAAAAATTTCTGGAAATCTTGAGGTTTTCTTTTTATAGTTTGTGCTTTTACTAGTATTTTGCAGTCAGGTGGAAGTGCATTTAAAATTGCCTTTCATTAACCTTGGTTGGAAGTCAGACAGCTGGGCTTCTGAAAGGTGTTTACAATGACTTAAATCCTGTCATAGTTAGATGGTCTATATCAGTGGTTCTTAACCTTTGTTACTCGGATGTTTTTGAGCTGCAACTCCCAGAAACCCCAGCCAGCACGGTTGGTGGTGAAGGCTTCTGGGAGTTGCAGTCTAAAACTCCTGAGTAACCCAAGGTTAAGAACCAGTGGTCTATATAACCATCACCTTTTTTTCCTTCAAAAAGTCTGTCTGATGTGTCACAGGGAAGTTGTTGGTTTGTCTGTTTTTAAAGGTCTGCATTCATACTAGATTTCACTGTGGTTTATGGAAATCCTAGCCATTGTTTCTCTCAATTCTTGTTTTCCCACAGGAATTAGTATTTCTGGGATTTCCTTATTTTTGCTACTTTCACTGGCCTCTCATGTAATGCATCCAAAATTGTGCTCACAACTCTGCATTTAATTCTAACTGAATTGCAGCACTTCTAACATGACACTAACATAATTGGTTTTAAACCAATGCATAGGGGAATTGTGGGAAAATAACATTTCATTATGTTGAATTCCGCATTGTTAAAGTTGAAATGCTTTGAGGATGATGTGGATGTAAAAACTCGCTATCTGAATCCTGTTTGGCTGCTCTGTGTTTTTCTATGGAATTTAATTTAAACCCACTTTTAGTCTTGTATTAAACCTGTTGAGCTTCATCATGAAAGCTATGCCAGTGATGCAGAGGACATTTGTCCAACATGTTGGGAGGAATTCTGAAGCTTTTTTTACAATTATGTTTGTGTGTCCAATGTTGAAATTATGTATAGACTTAATTATAAGAGGAATTTTAGGTATACCATGTATATGGCTTCTAATTTGCATTCAGTAGGCATGGGATTTTTGGATTATTATTGCAGCTCCTACAATTTGACAGGAATTCTCTAAGCCAAAATTTTGGAAGCTGCATGAAAAAAATACATTTTCTCAGAAGTTTCAGTACAGTACTTGCATGTAAGTCTCAGTCTGGAGCTACCTACTGTTACTTGCCCGAAGGAGAAGCAAATTAGTGGGAATGGCTAAATTTCATAGCAACTGCAATGGATTAAGGGATTGATAATTTTTTGAGAGGTACCCTTTATAGAGCATAATTAGCAGAGGGACTACCAGTCCCCTAATCTCTTGCAGCGCCAATTGAATTTAGCCACTCCTACCTATTTATTTCTTTTTGAAGCATATAATGGTGACTCCTAATTGAGACTTGCCTAGGTTCATGTGTAACCTGCAGTCCAAGGAAAAAAATAGAAAAAATCCAAAGGTCCCATACTTGGTGTTGAGCATCTTGAAGAAGTTTTCTATCAACTGCATATCACCCCACAATTATTTAGGTGTGCTGCTGCTTCTTATGCAAGGTCACTTAATAAACAGGCTGTGCCAAGAATAGGCAACTTGTGATCCTCCAGTTGTTGCTAGATAGTAACTCGTTAGCCCCAGCTAGCATGGTTAATAGCAAAAGAGTTTCCGTTCAATAACATCAAGAGGGCTACTATTGCTCAGATCTATATAAAGGAAATGGTTTGCATAAATTTGCAACAAAAGACTTACAATTTTAAATTTAGAAGATAGAATTTTAAATTTAGAAGAGTGGTGATGTTTGCTATATGGTCTCCATGGTCCTCCTATTTAAAATCACTGGTATGGCATCTCCTTGAGCAGAATATAAAATTTGGGTTCAAGCATGGAATTGGTATTTGTGTTACAAGGTGTTCTTTTTCAAATGATTTTGTTTTATAGCAGAAAATGGGGAAGAAGCAGAATGGAAAAGGCAAAAAAGTGGAAGAAGCAGAACCTGAAGAATTTGTTGTGGAAAAAGTCTTGGACCGGCGCGTAGTTAATGGCAAGGTTGAGTACTTCTTGAAATGGAAGGGATTTACTGAGTAAGGAACTTCAGAGCTACTTCTGTATCAGTATTTAATTGAGGATGTAGACCATAGTTCCACACAGAGATAGCGTGGTTGCAGGAGAGGCATGTTGATAGCTGGACCTGAATGTAAAATGTTTCCCCATAATTATGGTATGTTTCTTCAGCTGTGTAGGAGGCAGCAGTTTAAAAGATTTAAAAACCTCTGGTTATTTGCATGTCAAGACTTTTTCTCCAGATCACATTATGGATGTATAAGCCAAAAATAACTAAAAACTCAGAAACAAAAGCTAGATTTTGACCCTACACAGGTCTTTATCATAAGCCAGAGAGCTATGGATGGTGCAGAAGACATTAAAATCTTGATCAGATGTGCTTGCCAGGTTCCTTTGTTAAAAATAATTTTCAAAATGGAAGCTGCAGACTTAGGTCAAAGGTATACGTTTCAGAATCCACCTCGGTTTGTGTTGTCTTTCACAATTTTATTAGTCAAAATTTCATTTAGCATTCTCCTTCCCCCTTACATTGAATCACAAAGTTCTTTTTTGGCTAGGGATACAGGCACACTGTGTTAAACCTTGTATCAGAGAAGTGCGCACAAAATTTAGTCTATACACTAGTTGAGCTTATTGCAGCCTATCATTGTTATTACCGAGTGGTTAAAGGAAGGTATTGCCCTTAGCTCACAGTTTGTGTGGTGTTAAATATTGTGTTTGGTTGTAGATGGTGATCGGGTTAGTTATTCAGGGTAACTTCCATCCTCCAACAAAAAAGAAAAACAAATTATGTTGTGCTTGTACACAATTTGCAAGCAAGGGTGAGTAATTCTTTTAGTACATATACCTGGCCACGATTTTTTGAAATTTTATATACCACCCACAGCTACCTGGTGCCCAGCTTGATGTACAGAGCTGTACAGAGTTGAAAGCTAGCATATGTCTGTGATATTTTTAGTGGTCTGTAAAGCTTTCTCCCAACCTTGCCTTTGAATTGTATACAACAGAGGTCCCCAACCCCCGGTCCGCGGCCTTAGCCAGACCGAGCCAGATCTCCCCACCCCCGCACAGCCGGTTTGTGGCTGCACGTGCACTGCAGCACGCCTGTGCGAGCACGGTGCCACCGTTTGCACATGCGCATGAGTGTGCATGCATGCCCAGACAAGTGCTGCACCGCTGTTTACACACAGGCGCGGGGGTGCCCTGCCTTCCCCAGCCGGTCCGCGGACCAAAAAAGGTTGGGACCTCTGGTATACAAGGACCACACTGCTTTTTTAAAAAAATTAAGCCATGGGTAGTGTGTTTGATTACTGTTTAAAGTATATATAATGTATATTTTACATATCTAATCAGGAGGAAACACCATTGAGCTTCATGAAATGTACTCCCACTAAATCTGTAGGATTGCAGCCTTTAACAACTAGCTGATCATATGTCTTCTAGGGATATGCTTCCAGTGGGCAAAGATAATAGAAAATAATAACACATATGGATGTTGTAATAACCAGTTCAGATTGTGCTGGAAATTAGAAATGAACTGATACTGTCGATACCTGTGCTGATTGATAGTACTTAGTAGCTTATTGCTAGCACTGTTATTTCTATCATAATTGTTCATCATAGTCAGAGTTTGTTTTTAAAAAGTATGTAGAAAGTGTCTTCCTGGGAAGATAGTATTACAAGTACAGTATTTAAAAACAAAAATCAATTTAGGAATCACTAAAAAATTTATTTCTATTCTTGTGGATGCTCATTTGCACTCACGCAACACCTGTAAATTTGGATAAAGTTTAGAACCCTCTAGAAAGTTCCTTTGTTCTTGTTTGTCCTTCAAATTTCTAAATATTAAGTATCTCTGTTATTATTGTATCTGTCACCTTTATAGAGGTAGTGATTTTGTAGTTGCTGTAAGTTGATTCTGAAATAAAACTTGTTTTATTCCCCAGTACACTTTGGCAAACTATTGCATTTTAAGGCATTAGGTTTATACTTAAATAATCATATATAAATGGCTGTTAATTATTCTATCTGAAATGCAACAAACTGCTGTAATATCTGGCCTAAATGAAAGGGGGAAGGAATAATAGTATTTTGTGACAGCAGTGTTTCCCAGTAACTGCACACAATTGAAACATAAAAATTGATTAATATCTACTTAATATGTTATTAATATCATACAAGGGCATGTTAAAGTTCAGAATCAGTTCTTCTGATTCAGATTTCTAATTGCGTTTTTCCATAACTGTTGTTTTAGTGCTGATAACACGTGGGAGCCTGAAGAAAATTTGGACTGTCCAGAATTAATAGAAGCTTTTTTGAACTCACAGAAAGCTGGTAAAGAAAAAACAGAAGGTGGCAAAAGAAAATCTCTTTCAGATAGTGAGTCTGATGAAAGCAAATCAAAGAAAAAAAGGGATTCTGTAAGTGAATCACAGACTTATTCGTAATACTGTATTTCCTTGAAATGCATAAGTGAGGTTCAGCTTGGGTCTGCCTACCCTGTTTTATAGCCTATTAAATGACTTCCAGATAAACCAGTTCTCCATGTGAGTGGAGGCTAGACTGTTCTGAGGTTCTATCTATTTTAAGAGGTGGATACTCTTTTCTTTCCACATTATACTCCTGGCATTCTCTCCTGTTTCTTCAAGATTCCAAGAAATTCTGATAAAGCCTCCTTGATTTTAATCTGGGAGGGGCAGGATGGTAGCTGAAGAACAGATGTGAATTCGATATAGAAAGGAGTCTTTCACTATTAGCTGTTATACTCTAGAGATAAGTGATTTTGTCAGTAGGAGGCATCCAATAATTCATGTACAGTTTTCATTGAGTGTTACACCTACTGTACCTGTTTTGCTTGAGTTGAACTAAATCACAACAACCTGGCATATTTGCCTGGAGAATAACGTCAGTCCAAAGCTATACAGAGTGCCTCGCTTGACGAGGATAATTCTTTCCATTGAAATCGCTGCTAAGTGAAATCCTCGTCAAGCGAAACGAAAAAGTCCATTGAAATGCATTGAAACTGGTTCAGTGCGTTCCAATGGGCTAAATACTTCAGCGTCCAACGAAGATCCTCCATAGGGGTGGCCATTTTCGGTGTCTGTAAAGCGAGGAATCCGTCCTAAAACACAGCGGGCAACTATTTTGCACAGCGGGCGGCCATTTTAGAGCCGCCGATCAGCTGTTTAAAAATCATTGTTAAGCAAAAAATCGGTTCCCAAAGCAGGAACCAATTGTCGTAAAGTAGATTTCCTCCCTATCTAAACATCGCTTTGCGGTCGCAAAAGCGATAACAAAAAATTCATTGTCAAGCAGTTTCGTCATTTAACGAGGTAATCGTTAAGCGAGACACCACTGTATTTCTTATTGAGCGCTCTTTGTGTTCATTTGAATACACCTTTAGGCTCCTTTGTGGCCCTTTGCATTAAACAAAGTTTATGAGGGCTGAACTTAATATATCCCACTCCCCATTTAGTCCTATATGGATTCAGGCATAATAGCTGGATAAGGCTTCTGTCTCTCTCTTGATGTCAAACACATATGTGCATAGATATGTAAGTGAATGGAGGCTGCACCAGGAGATAACTCTTGTATTTTGCCTTGAACTCTTTGGAGGAAGGGCTATGTAGTGATTTTTCTACAGTACTGTATTCAGTAGGTACTTTATGTGTCTCTAAATATTTAATCAAATAGGTTGATAAGCCTAGGGGATTTGCAAGAGGTCTTGATCCTGAGCGAATAATTGGAGCCACAGACAGTAGTGGAGAACTTATGTTTCTTATGAAATGGTGAGTGACCAAATGGATATGTCAGTAGCTGTCCAGAAAGAACTTTAGATTTATTTTATTAGAAAACAATTTTCTGCTATTGCAAACTAGTAACCAGTCTTCTATTGCAGTTCGAATAGATAAACTCGCAAGATAGAAGTTTAAATCTTGAAAGATAAACCGGTCATATTATCTCGTCAAACTCAATAAGGGTCTTTCTTATTATTTTATATAAATATACTGATTGTTCATGCTGTTTGGTATCAACAAAGTTTTATTTTTATATCTTTCATATATTAACATATTTTTAACCTGCCCTGTATTGATAGTTACTTAACATTTATTGGGAGAATCAAAGGAGTTGAAATAAATCCAATCAAGTTTTTCAAGTGTTTATATAAAAAGTATGGTGTTTATTGGATAAGCCTTGGCAGCAACAGTAGATTAGAATTGCTGAATATCACAACCACGTGTAAAAATAATGATATAACTAGCAGTTTATTGGGTATATTAAAGTGCATTCATCAGTTAAATCAACTGAAGGTATCTAAGAAAGGGATCTCCAAATGTAATTGCCAATGCTCAAATCCCAAAGGACATTAAATATTATTCACCTTAGTGAGGCAGTTTGCAGTATACATATTTAGGGTTGGGTTACAAACATGTTACTAGCTAACCTCGGTAACATTTTATATTGTGCCTTTATAGGTTAATAGTATGGAAATTCAGCTAGGAATAATGTCTCAAGAATTAAATAAATATTCACATGCTTAATGTTCTTGCACTACTTTATAAAAAGGTATTAGTTATGCTTATTTGAAGCATGTGTTTTTATGAAATAATTTTCAATGTCTTTTAATGGGAATTCTCTCTTAAACTAGGAAAAACTCTGATGAAGCAGACCTGGTGCTGGCAAAAGAAGCCAATGTGAAATGCCCTCAGATCGTAATTGCTTTTTATGAAGAACGGCTAACTTGGCATTCATGCCCAGAAGATGAAGCACAATAATTGTTTGGGTTGTCCCCCTTGCTCCCTCTTTTATATATATATATAGATAGATAGGTATATATATATATTTGCTTTTGACTTATCAGAAATGTTGAAAGCTTCTAAGTCTAATGAAACAAGTTTGATTATTTTTGAAATGTGTTTTGCATAAACAGAAATGTTACAAGTTCTGTGCTATTTGTTTTGCTTATTACAGGAAAGTGTTTGATACTGCTTCCTGCATATTAAATTGTTTTATAAAACTTGATAGTTAATAGTGAATATTAATGGCAATTTGTTCAAATGCAAGTGTTTTTGTAGCCTTCTATACAGCAGATAAGCATGCATTTCCCCCCTCTTAAATCTTTAAGATACCTTTTAGTAACCGGGTTCTTGGTCATGAGGGGACAAGGTTAAAAACTTTGTAGTAAGTTGAAAGTGCACTGTGTATTATTTACTTTATTGTAAATACTTCTGAGCTAACAATACAATACTTTTATATTCTTGTTCAGTTTTTTTGTAACTGTGAAAAGCAAAAGTCTTCAGTCTATTATTTCTGCTATTGAAAGTATTTATTTATTTAAAATATTTTTACCCTGCCTTTCTCCTTAAAAAAGAACCTGAGGTGGCTTATATCATTAAAAGACAATATTTAAAAGCTAAAAACAGGACGTATGAAAATGTTTAAAAGGGATCAAATAAAACACCACACTAAAAATGTTAAGTAAAATCAATACCAAAAATAGCTTCAGAGCCACAGGGCACAGTACTCCATTAAAAATCCCTCTCATTCCAAGGGAAAGCCTGTATGAAGGCTGCTTGAGGAAAGATAGCAAAGATGGGGCCAACCTGACCTACTGTGGGAGGGAGTTCCAGAGTCTGGGTGCAGTAACAGAGAAGGCCCTCTCCTGTGTTCTCACCAAATAGGACTGAGAAAGGCCTCCCTTGATCTTGATATCACTACCCAGGCAGCCGCATAAAGGGAGATGCAGTCCTTGAGATAGCGTGGACTCAAGCTGTTTAGGGCTTTATGGGTTAAAAATGAGAGACGAAGTTTCAGAATGTAGAAAATATAATCAAACTCTTTATTCTGTATTCTTTAAAAGGGTCTGGCTCAACGCATTTCAGCGAAGCCTTCTTAAGGAGCTAAGCATAACAAAACCACACATTAGGTATCAAATCATTCACATTTTCTTTTGAAAAAAATATATACACCTAGCTTGGGACTCTCAACTTTACATAAATACATGCATTTATACTAAGCACATTAGGCATAATAAAATATATTAGGGTAGGGTGCTTTGAATTGTCCTGTTGCCCAGCAATCAGAGGAGGGGGTAGATGTTAAGACTATCAGATCTAGCTAGTGAAGGATGGTGGGAGTTGTACAACTTTATCAGAAGGACTACAATTTCCTGCAGAACAGAAGAATATTTGTGAATCTATTTGTTTCAGTAAGTAAGAGTATTCAAGACTTCTTTGGAAGCGCAAATAGTCCCTCTGCCTGTGTAATGTTGGGCATTACACAGGCAGAAACACAAATAGTCCATCTGCCTGTGTAATGTTGGGCTCTCAGTCTGAGAATGTCAGCTAAAGCAGTGGTTCTTAACCTTTTTGAAACGCCCCCTTGAGCCATTGAGGAAGTTATCATCCCCCCCCCCCATGGCGATATCTCAAGACACTTAAATCCAATGACCCTTGAAAATAAAATTCAATTGCAAGAAAATGACATGCCTGAAAAAAACCCAGTAACATTTAATGATTTAGTTACAAGTGAATTTTAAGATGCAAAAAGAAATATTAAAAAGGCTTAAAAACAAACCGCAATGCAGGAACAAAAATTTCAAGACGAAAACTCTGAAATTAAATTAAGATTCGAGGAAAATACATATTCATACACACTATAAAAAGGGTTAAAAAGACACAAAGAAAAATTTTACAGAAAGCAACAAAAAACAGAGCGACAAATTATATACAGTGGTGCCCTGCTTGATGATTACCCCACTCCATGACAAATCCGCTTTACGATGAGTTTTTTGCGATTGCAATAGCGATCGCAAAACAATGTTTAAATGGGGGAAATCTGCTTTACGACGATAGGTTCCCTGCTTCGGGAATCGATTTTTCACTTAATGATGGTTTTGAAACAGCTGATCGGCGAGTCACAAAATGGCTCCCCGCTGTGTTTAGGACAGATTGCTCGCTTTACAGGCACTGGAAAATGGCCGCCCTATGGAGGATCTTCGCTGGACAGTGAGGTATTTTCCCCATTAGAACGCATTCACCAGTTTTTAATGCATTCTAATGGGTTTTTTACTTTCGCTTGACGATGATTTCGCTGTACAGCGATTTTGCTAGAATGGATTATCATTGTCAAGCGAGGCACCACTGTATATATGTCTCTACACAAAAAGTTTACACGAAGAGCACAAAAAAATTGAAACCATAAAACTGAGAAATCAAAATATATCGAACTGGAGTGCACGTTAAAAAGTACAGTACAATACAAAGAGAAACA